GGGGACGCCCAGCCGGGACGGGGCTAGGGAGGCTTCCACAGCACGGGAAGGGCGGGGCCCCCGGACCGCATCCAGTCCAGCTGGCCAGTTCAAAAAGGCGCGCCGGATGAGGAGGGGGGCAACCTCCTCGCAGGGAGCTAGGAGAGCTCCAGGCCCAGGATGGACCGGGTGTGTGACCGAGGCCGGCAGGCGGCCTGTCCCCGTCCCAGGGGTTCCCAAGACGGCCCCCGCAGCTGGCAGTTGACCAGTCCTGGGTCGGGCAACGACCGGACCCAACCTCCCCGGCCCCGGAAAGAGAGGCCGGGACGAGATAGAATCCGCAAGAGTGGACAGACCCGCAGGACGTCGCCGGAGCAACCCCAGACCTGGACTCCCGAATCCTGGTAGGCACCAGGGAACGTCACGGGTACTCGAGGGACCATGGGAAGGGAGGAAGGAGCCCGGGGCGGGGCTCTTTTGGCGACCCTGGGCGGACGGGTTATGGAAGGAATTACCCCCGTCTGCCGCGCAGGGGTGAGAGTAAGCCCCTGTGCTTAGGGCCCCAGGCTGGGAACCGGAGAGAGGGTGGGACTGGGTCCACCTCCCCATTCCCCAGGGAGGATCCAATCGCGGTCAGCAGCAGAGCACACACGAATCAGCGAAGGGTGACGGCAGTCCAGGGTACCAGTCCAAGGAGGGACCAGACTAGGGGTGCAGGCCCCCTCCCACTCCAAGACAGGATACAGTCACAGGGTCCGCTGAACCCCCTCTCCCCCCTCCGGCTTTGCCAGGAGGGAGTGATCGCACCCAACTGACGGGGCTTGTGACTGGGGACCCGAGCCGGGACCCAGTTAGAGGACGAAGGGATTTGCCAAGCCCCCCTTCCCTTCCGGGAGGGGGTGATCGCACCCCGACTCAACCACAGGGACTAATTTAGCTACAACTACTCAAGAGAGAGATCTTGGAGTCATTGTGGATAGTTCTCTGAAAACATCCCTTCCGTGTGCGGCAGCAGTCAAAAAAGCTAACAAGGTTAAGAACCACTAAAAAAGGGACAGAGAATATCTAATTGCCTCTATATAAAACCATGGTACACCCACATCTTGAATACTGCGCATAGATGTCGTCACCTCATTTCAAAAAAGATATATTGGCATTGAAAAAGGTTCAGAGAAGGGCAACAAAAATGATTAGGGGTTTGGAATGGGACCCTATGAAGAGAGATTTAAAAAACTTGGGACTTTTCAGCTTAGAAAACAGGAGACTAAGGGGGGAGGGGGAGCTATGATAGAGGTATATAAAATTATGACTGGTATGGAAAAAGTGAAGAAAAGTTATTTACTTGATCCCATAATCTCCAGGAGATAACCAAATGAAATTAATAGGTAGCAGTTTTAAAATAAACAAAAAGAAGTTTTTCTTCATGCAGTGCAGTGAACTCCTTGCCAGAAGATGTTGTGAAGACCAGGACTTTAACAGGGTTCAAAAAAGAGCTACATAAATTCATGGAGGTTAGGTCCATCAATGACTATTAGCCAGAATGGGTAGGAATGGTGTCCCTAGCCTCTGCTTGTCTAGAAATGGATGACAGGAGAAGGATCACATGATGATTACTTGTGTTCCCTCCCTCTGGGGTATCTGACATTGGTCACTGTTGGCAGACAAGATACGGGGCTAGATGGACCTTTGGTCTGACTCAGTATGGCCATTTTTATGTTCAGTTCTACAGGCCTCAGCTAAATGTAACAGAACCCCCATAGCTTTCAATAAGATACATAACATGACCATAGCATTTTGACCCCAGCCCTTAGTTAATCTGCCCAGAGGATGAAGCTGTCTGCGTTTACTTACCTGGGTGCAGATACTAGGGAGACAAAGTGCTAGCTTTACCATATCGGGCAAGATGGACTGGAACAAATGCTGAGACTCTGCATCTTCAAGCACCTAAAAAAAGAAAGATTTCTTTTACACCAAAAATGTGATTGATATTGACAAGATAAAGATTGCACAGGTCCAATTTTCACACTGGAAAATGGTAAATATTAGGCAAGTTCATCTTAAAACAATTTTGTTTAATAATCACTGCATTTCTACAGCATCTTTCATCAACAATTTTCAGTTAACTTTACAAACTAATTATCTCTCTCAATCTATAAGGTACAGAATAGGTAACCATTATCCATACATGTCACTTAATTGTGTGATGAGCAGACAAGTGAACTGACTTGTCCAAGACAAAATTAGAAGTCTTATCATAACAAAGCAAGGGGCGGGTTTGTTTGTGCCAGGACAATGGGATGTGCCTGAAATTCAATTGTTTCTCATAAAATAAAAAGGGAGGAGTCTTCTGGAAGCGACAGTTATACTGTAAAATGAACACAGGGAGGGGAGCAAGAGGCCAGAGACAGGGACTGGAACAGCTATAACCCCACTGGATAGGCAGGGGACAGGGTAGAGAAAGGTAAAGTTACCTCCAATCCATTACAGAGAATTTGCTGGTGTGTGTCTGTCTCCCAGCTGGGGGGATGGATATGCACCCAACCTCCTGGCTATGCCCACTGCAGCAGCCATGAACAGGCGTTTCTCATCTGGCCCCAAGCTGCTGTGGTGAGAAATGGCTTAGGTAGCCCTCTCCCCCTGGGGCAACCTGCATTCTGAATCCTTCATCCCTATACCCAGCCAAGAACAATAGTAGAGAGAGGACTTAATATAAAAAATACTGGTAAGTGTGATTTACTTTAACCATACATAAGGATTCAGAGATTAAATAACGAAAAGCTAAAAAGAAAATATTATTTCTTTTTAGTCATCCATTTGGTGAATTTTCTACTTCTAGTGTCCATTATACGATTTCACTTCTTTTTTAAATTTTGCTGATTTCTTGAAAAAAGAAGATCTTCTAGCTTCTACTGGTCCACCATATACAGCTTTGGGTCCCTTCCTCCCGTTAAAACTCCTGCCTTCAATTTTCTCCAAATTATTTCTATAGCAACTCTTATTTTAGACTGTCTCCTTCATTTACAGGAGAGAGGAAGAAATTAATGAGTGCTTGGGAAGTTAAAGAAATGTATGCAACAATTTGAATGTGTGAAAGAAAGGAGGCTAATACAACCTTAGTACATACTCAAACAATAATCTAGAGCCATGCTATGTAAGTGAAAGCCTGTGTTATCATTTGGGTGTAAATTCATAAAATGTTAAAAAAAAAAAAAGGCTGAAAAATTAGAAAATGGACATAAAAGACAATGAATTCCTGTAATGATTGAGCCTGATGTTTTACACAGAAAGGAGCTTTCAACAATCTTTGTAGCTTTTTCCTTTGCGTTGCACTGACTCAGACATTCTAGGCTTCACAGCGAGGCACAGAATTACTATCCTGGAATCTTGTAACATATTCATGAAAAAGAGATTATGAATGTAAAGTTTTAAATTTCCAATTAATACCTTAAATTAAAGCTCTTACTTTGCAAAGAAAGTAGCAAGTCTGAGAAATCTGAAGGAAATTCAGCTGCAGTGGAGTAAATGAGTCCAAGCTATGTATCATCATCTATTATAGAATACAATATACTTTCAGAAATGGGACGTGTAATAAAGCACTTATTTCACTGCAGCATCTGGCTAGTATTCTTCAATTTTAGCAGGAAACTTCAAAGATGTTGGCTTGTTCTTCCACAGCATAAGTAATGAGAGAAACAAAAAAGGGTTGCAAGCCTGGAATTTCAGACTTCAAACCATAGAATAAAATGAATATATATATAAATTAAACCTATTCAAAAGACGACATTTAACCTTAAATGTCTACCAAGCTGTCAAATTCTGAAATTCTCTCTCCTTTGGGTAACACTTACTATCTTTTAAAACTGACACATGAATAGTGGCCGCCATGCTTTGCTGACTGCCACAAACTATAGAGTATCACTTATCTGGTGACACACTAAGGTACTGAACTTTGTCACAGCTGTCAACACTTCAACCTTTTGTTTATGCTCCTTTGCAAAAATGTAATGATAGTATGACACACATCCTTCCTGAAACAAAACCAAGGCCAGCAACTTCACAAGTCTGAGGGCAAATGCATAATTAAATGAATACAAGTGCACATTTTAAATTCTGAAGTTCTGTTTTCCTCTCTGTTTCTTTTCCCTCCCATGTCCCTAACAGTATCTTCTTCTGTCTCTTACCTACCTATAAGTTTGCTTAAGAATCCTCGTCTTACAAATCATGCCCAAATCATGGGACTACTTGTGTATAAAGGTTAGTACATGGATAAAGTATGAACAGAATCACAGCCCAAAGACCTGATTGTGCAGCACCTACACAGGTGAATAATCCCACTGATTATTTTAACAGAACTCACTTAACTAAGGACTACATGACTGGGTGCTAAATCCACAAGTATAGTAAGGAACTCCCATATTTTCCTACAGAGATTATCATTGATTTAAACCAGGGTGGGGCACTGGGGTCCACGTCATGAGTTTTGGTACATTGTCACAGGCTGTCTCCAGCACCCCAGAAGAGGTGGGGTCAGGTGGAAGGGCGGAGTTGGGGGCTACAGAGAGAAAGAGAAGAGAGAGTGTGTGAATGTGAGAGACACTGTGCGCATGCGAAGGAGACAGACTGACACAGATTGAGTGTGTGTGGCACAGAGACGAGTGAGAGTGTGTGTGAGAGAGAGAGAGACAGAGACAGACACAAACTGGGGATGTGTGACAGTGACACAAAGAGTATGTGCTGGCTGCTGCTGGGTAAGTTTGAGAGAAGCCATAAGCTGTCCTGCTCTGTTGTCTTCCCCCTTTCCCCACTCGGCAGACATGGAATATGGGGAAAGAGAGAGAAGGAGAGTGCAAGCACATGAGCACTGAAATCTTAGGAATGGGGCACTGCCTCTTAAGACAGGCACTCCTCTGAGTCACTTAAGCATCCATTCTTCAGATTGGAGCAGCTCCGCTGTGTCTCCCTCTCTCCTGGCCCCTCCTCTACAGAGACAGGGAACATACTAACTTCAGCACTCTCCTCTCCCCTCCTCAGCTAGCAGGAGAATACTGGGAGTAGCTCAGCTGCAGAAGGGAACTAGGTGGGGGAGGGATAGCTGAACACACCCTACCAGCCTTACCTAGGCATGCTCTGCTTATCAGCTGGGCAGCACAGCTCCACTGGTGATTAATAAGCCCTGCCCAGTCAGCTCTGTGGATGGATCCCTGAGCTTCTGAATGGGCAGGGGATGGGTGAGCCAGATCTGGCCCATGGGCCTAATTGTACCCACCACTGTTTTAAGCCCTCTCCTTTTTAAATGGTAGAGTTCCCTAAATAGTTTGTATCATGGATTCACAATGCTTTTCACCTAGCAAAGGTGTAAAAGAAGGTACTTCCATTTTTAACCCAGCCCACAATCGATCTTCTCAATAACACTTCTCAACTTAATTAAGTAAAAAGTTTTCAGACAAACAAAAATATGCTAACACTAGAAGATTTACCTGGAATTCCTCAGGTCCTTAACTCAATTAACTATTGTTTTTCTCCATGTAAATAATTTCTCTGGGGTGAGCCTGGGAATAAGGGGTTCAGTATGCAGACCGCACCAAGGAGAGAGGACAACCCCAGCAGCTTGAGGTCAGGGAAGAAACGCCCCAAGCCAGGGAGAGAGGGGGTACATTTACCTGGCTGGGAGACAGACACAGACAGACTGACAGACACAAACTCAAATATATAATAGAGAGTTGTCCCTTTCTCCAACACTGCTGCCCCCCAATAGGATTACAGATGTCCTGGTCCCCATCTCTGACCCTTTGCTGCTCTTCTATTGTCATTTTACAGTATAACTGTCACTCCTACCAGACCCCTCCCTTTCTATTTTATGTGATACAACTGAATTCCACACATACATCCCTTACCCTGGCACAACTAAATGCTGACCTTGCCTTAGTTATAATAAGAGGAAGCTGCATACCAAATGTGGTGGTCTAGGTCTTACCGTTTAGGAGGAGTTCTTGAGGAGAGACAGATAGACATTTGGACAGACATATGGACAAATAGATTCTTTCAAATAATAGTAGATGATAGTTGCAGGATGCAGACCAAGAGCATGCTCTTTTATGGCATACCAAGGCATTGCAATCGCCAATGCTTTAAAAAAAAAAAAAAAAAGTGGCAGTACTCCAGGGGAAATACTGTTGAGGAAAAAAAAAAGGCCTAGGTGGGATGGGCATTGGCCTTTTAAAGAGACGCAGCCCGTTTAAGACATGCAGCCCTGTCGGATATTTGCGAACAGAAGTGCCGGTACGTTCCATTCTTTCCAGGTAAGCTCTGACTGGAGTTACTGGGCTGTACTGTCACAAAAAAAGCACTGCCAACCACTGTGACTCAGTTTCCCTCCTACTTTTACCAATAATTATCTTGGTCATCAGCACAGTTCCCCTGCTGAGGTGCTTTAATCCTCTAAGTTACAGGTCCTCTGACCCACTGACAGTGGCAATGAGAAAAAGTTACATATAGCAATATTATTCCATCAGATTCAAATAATGAAAATCTATTCTTGAGTGCAAATACCCAAACTTTAGAACATTAAGCATACTCATTTATGGATACATTTACATTATTTCTCTTTTTTTAATTCAAGGTGCAGAAGTATTAAAACTGTTGCCAATATTTTTGTTGACAAAGGAAAATAAAATACATTAGCAATAAAAACATTAGCAATAAAAACCTGGATTTGAAACTAAGTTCTCGCTCTCATTCATATATATATATATATAAAGTTTTTTCCTGCCAGGTGACAGAATGATGTCATCACTCTCTCACACTCGCTGCCCATGAAAGTAGCCAGAAAAGGGGGGGGGGGGAGCGTGTGTGGCAAGTGTAGTGAGTATGGGGAGCAGCCCACTAGTCTAACTGAACAAAATCAAGAGTATATTTTACCTATCACCAAAATTTTGAAGGAATAT